AATTTCCAAAATATAGAATTTCCTATAACGTTAAAAGACGTAACGAAATTCGAACGTCTCAACGACGTGTCTATTAACGTCGAGATTAACGTATACGTTATCGAGGGACAAAATACGCTAAACGTTCTCCCGATACAACTCACCGACGACAAAAAGGAGAAACATGTCAATTTACTATATTTGCGAGATCCGCGAGACGACAATGTGGGCCATTTCGCATGGATCAAGAATCTGTCTCGACTCATGAGCAAGCAATTGAACAAACATAATGGCCAAAAGTACATTTGCGATCGGTAAGTATATGATTAATAAAAGCGAATTCTTTTTAAAAAATAAAATAAAAAAAATCATTTATTTTTTATTTGCAGCTGTTTACATTATTTTCATTCCAACGAGAGATTGCAGTTACACATAGTAGATTGCCAACGGATAAACGACTGCGCTATCCGACTACCGAGCAATGACAACAAGTGGCTAAGTTTTAACAACTATAATAGGAAGGAACGAGTTTCATTTGTCGTTTACGCTGATCTAGAATGCATTCTCAAGAAAACTGATGGCGATCAGGAAGCATCTACGCTCACGTATCATCATCATCATCAAGTATTTAGCATAGGATATTACGTGCGCTGTTCATACGACAATTCGCTATCAAAATATCGATTTCGTCGCGATCCGGATTGCGTTTCATGGTTCGTTGAAGAACTGAGAAGTTTAGCACATTCCGTAAAAAAAATTTTAATAGTTAATGTCCCCATGGAAACTTTGTCGAGCGAACAGCGGGAGACATTGCACAGCGCGACGCATTGTCACGTGTGTGAAAAGCCTTTCGCGCCAGACGATAATCGAGTAAGAGATCATTGCCATTTAACCGGTCGTTAAGCAGGGGTCCCGCGCATTCAAATTGCAATTTAAATTATAAAAACTCATATTTTATTCCCATAGTTTTCCACAATTTATCAGGCTATGATTCACATTTTATTATCAAAGATATAGCTACAGCATATGAAGGCAGTATAGAATTACTACCAATATAACAAAGGAAAAATATGTATCATTTACAAAAAATGTTAAAGATACCGCTGAAAGATCAGATTCGCGAAATAACATAAAATTACGGTTCATAGATTCTTATAAATTTTTAAGTAGCAGTCTCGATAAATTAGCATCCTTTCTCAATAAAAATGAACTTCGAATTTTACAATGCGAATTTCAAAATTTGTCCGAAGATGATTTCAAGTTACTGATACGAAAAGGGATTTTTCCATACGAATACATTGATTGTGCCGACAAGCTGCAGGATACGCATTTACCATCGCGCGAGTCATTCTACAGTTCCTTGATCGGTGACACCGTATCCGAAAACGATTGCACGCACGCCGTGAACGTTTGGCAACAGTTCTCTGTTCAAACCTTGGGTGAATACAGCGATCTATATTTAAAAACGGACGTGTTGCTGTTAGCTGACATTTTTGAAAATTTTCGCGATAAATGTATTAAAAGTTACGGCCTCGACCCTGCATATTATTATACTTTACCAGGTTTTACGTGGGATTCTATGTTGAAACATACACGCGTAAATTTCGAGCTGCTCACCGACATCGATATGGTGATGTTTATCGAGCGCGGTATACGCGGCGGTCTTACATTAGTCAATGTTCCAGCAGGTACGCGCGAGCCAATAACAAATATATGCAGTCGCACGATCCATCGAAACCTTCTACGTACTTGATGTACTTCGATGTTAATAATCTATACGGATGGGCGATGTGTCAGCCGTTGCCATACGCCAAATTTCAATGGGTCGAAAACGTCTCGGACTTTAACGTTAGCGCGATTGCTCAGGATTCGCTTACAGGTTATGTTCTTGAGGTTGACTTAGAATATCCGGAGCGTCTGCACGACGAGCACGTTGACCTACCATTCTGTCCAACGCGTGATAAACCACCTGACAAGCAGCAGGATAAACTTTTAGCGACTGTGTATGACAAAAAACGTTACGTTATACATTATCGCAATTTACAACAATGCATGCGTCACGGTCTTCATGTTACAAAGATTCATCGCGTATTGCAATTCGCACAGTCACCATGGCTTCGCGATTACATAGAGCTTAACACAAAATTTAGAACGCTCGCGAAGAATGATTTTGAGAAAAATTTATTTAAGTTAATGAATAATGCAGTATTCGGCAAAACCATGGAGAACGTGCGCAATCACACCGATGTAAAATTATTAACGCAATGGGATGGACGATACGGCGCAGAGGCAATGATCGCGAAGCCGAATTTTCATAGCAGAAGTGTATTTTCTGAAAATCTGATAGCAATTGAAATTCGTAAACTTGAGGTGAAATTCAACAAACCGATCTACGTAGGAATGTGTATACTCGATATATCGAAGGTCTGTTTGTATGAATTTCACCACGAATATATGTTACCGCTGTATCGCAAAAAATGTGAAATTATGTACACAGACACTGATAGTCTCATATATCGCATCGAGTGTGATGACGTTTATGAACAAATGAAGCGTGATATCATTAGGTTCGACACGAGTGATTATTCTACCGATAATGTATATGGTATACCACTTGCGAACAAAAAAGTGCCAGGTTTAATGAAGGATGAAAATAATGGCGCAATATTGACTGAATTCGTCGGACTCAGAGCGAAAATGTATGCGTTAAGGGTGGATGGTAAAAAGGACACAAAAAAGGCGAAAGGTGTCAAAAGTAACATCGTAGTGCGAACTATAACGTTCGATGATTACACCCGATATTTAAACGATGAAATTGAAATGACTCGCCAACAGTCATGCATAAGATCAAAATTACATCAAGTATATACGATATCTGAGACGAAAATCGCTCTAAGTCCGTACGACGACAAACGATACATTATACCGAATTCAACCAAAACATTACCATGGGGACATTATCGAATACCTTTGACGAAAAAAAAGGTTCTGTAATTTTATTATAGAAATGTATAAATAATTACTGTGTATAGTATTACATTTATAGTAAAAAATAAAGATTTTTTATATATTAAATCGAAAAAATGGGTATAAATAATAAACGTTTTATACATCTTATGTATTTCATATATTTTTATATATTTTTATGTTTAAAAATAAATACATTTTTAATGAAAAATACAGTTTATATGAATTAAATTATATTATTCTTGTGTATCCAAGAATTGTGCGATGCATCGAATCCCAACCATTTTACGTAAACCTCGTCACTTCTCCTGCGCAATACTTTCTCCACGAGATACACGTTCGAATAAGCCGCGCGATGTAACTTATGTTCATAGAACGCTCCAGAGATAGATTTTTCGCGATAGTCATCCAGTAGATAGGTTACAGGATGAGTATGCTGCACTTTAGCGATTTTAAACACCTCGGTGGTCCAATTTGGCGTGTAACCTTTCTCGAAGACGGTTTTATATTTGCTCACACGTACCGAATCGCCTACTTTGAATTTTGCCGGACCCGCGATCTTTATGTTGCTATATACCGTGACCAAGAGTTTTTCAGCGATCGTGGGGGTAACGCCGATGGGTCGCATGCCGATGGTGCGATGCTTGCGCGTGTTATAATCTGATACAAGCTGCGACA